TGGGATTATTTATTTATTTTTTTCTCTTATGATAAATTAAATTTTTTATTTCCTGTTGTGAAAGGTCAGACAGATAGATAAACAGAAAGACAGGCCGACAAGCAAACAAACAGTCAGACAGAGACAGACACATAGACTGACAGACAAAGAGAAACAGAGGGAGTGACAGATTTGTAATAAAGATTAAGATAGCAAGAAGAAAAACGATAGAGAGAGAAAAACGAAATATAAAGATAAAAACAGTTTTATCCTTTTTTCATATGTTACTGAAAATCTGTAAATATAAGACGCATTGCTCAAAATCACCTTTATAATCAGTATTTCACCTTTAGCGTATCCATGCTCTTAAAATTAACATTATTGTTTAATCTCTTCTGAAACAAGCGATTAGTTTCAGTAGCGACTACAAAAGATGATATTGATACGCAACCTCCCTCACCCTTTTAAGAAGTTTACAGTTATAGGGCTACGTCACTTATAGATCTAATAATACTTCGCAAACCAGCTAACTTTTCCTTCCTGTAAATCAGACACCTGATCATGTACAGTTTGCCTGATTCATGTCATCAGAGGACACACGTTTTAAGTATAACTGGACCATTTCTCGTCGTCCAAACCGTGTGTAATTGTAGTCTATATATTGGTGTGTATTTGCGGTGGTTGTTAGCGGTTTCGAATCTGCTGTCGCAACCTTGTCATATACCTCCGTTTGTTTGTATTTTTTTTTTTTTTATTTTTATTTTACTTAATCGTTGATTGTTTAAATTATATTTCGTTGCATATGTATGTATGTATGTATATGTATATATATATATATATATATATATATATATATATATATATATATATATATATATAGATATAGTAGTGTGTGTGTGTGTGTGTGGTGTGTGTGTGTGGAGAGAGTGTGAGAGAGAGAGAGAGAGAGAGAGAGAGAGAGAGAGAGAGAGAGAGAGAGAGAGAGAGAGAGAGAGAGAGAGAGAGCAAGAGATAGATAGATAGATAGATAGACAGATAAATAGCTAGATAGATAGACACACATTCAAGATTAAGTATTTATCTTTTCTTCCCTCTAATGGGTAATGGTGATCCTGTTTCGGTAAACGATTACAAATGGTTTGAAAATCACTGTAATGGATACATTTTGGGATAAAAGGTAGATAAGCATTTTCATGGGCATTTTACTCTAAAATTATTATTGTTATTACCATTTTTTTGAGGGGGAAAGTTAGAAAAATAAGAAAAAATTTCTTCGTCTGGGTGCGTGTTATATATATATATATATATATATATATATATATATATATATATATATATATATATATAGTGTGTGTGTGTGTGTGTGTGTGTGTGTGTGTGTGTGTGTGTGTGTGTGTGTGTGTGTGTGTGTGTGTGTGTGTGTGTGTGTGTGTGTGAAAACCATTTATAACTATTAGTAATTCCTTCATGTTCTTTTTCCCACAATTTCGATCTCACTAATCAATAACAACATACCATAATAATAATAACATTAAAAGTAAAATCACACACACACACACACACAATACCGACCCTCTTGAATAACAATAATAATACTAAAAATATCAGAGCAATGGTGGGATGCCGTGTTCATTGTGGAACGGCAAAGATTGATATGATTTTGAGTGACAGGCCGACGTATCTGCGCTCCCGATGCTTTTAGTGGAGAGACAACGATAGCGCGGCCAGAGTCAGACAAAAATGTCAAGCGCTTTTTTGAGACAGGGCCTTGTGTGGAGCCTTTATTCGTGTTCCAAGTGAATATATACACACAGTTCTACACATGCATGTATACACAAACACCAGTTTCTCTACACAGACACACACACATATATATGAATATAAATAGATAGACAGACAGATAGATAGATAGATAGTAGTATATATACATAGGCAGATAGATACACAGATGTACACACACACACACACACACACACACACACACACACACACACACACACACACACACACACACACACACACACACACACACATATATATATATGTATGTATATAAAGAAAAAGAAGAAATGTATGTATATAAGCACACACACACACACACACACACACACACACACACACACACACACACACATATGTGTGTGTGTGTGTGTGTGTGTGTGTGTGTGTGTGTGTGTGTGTATGTGTGTGTGTGTGTGTGTGTGTGTGTGTGTGTGTGTGTGTGTGTGTGTGTGTGTGTGTGTGTGTGTGTGTGTGTGTGTGTACACGTGCGTGTGAGTGTATCTTAACAGAAAGATCTTTGGATAATTAGTAAACCGGTATTTATACTACAGCGGCTACATGCATATACTTTCGTTTAAGCTATTCTAAAACCCGAAATCCTCTTTATCTGACAACTTTAAAAAGATACAGTGAATCAAAATATTTTCGAGGCATATTTTTTCATATCAAATTCTTCTAGAACATAAATTTTCCCGACATTATGCGACCTTTGTGTTCCAAAACATTATGCAGTTTTTAT